TAACTGACTTTAATAAGAAGAAAGACAGAAATAAATTGTGCGTATATAGTATCAAGTCGCTTTGGATTGCAAAAATGCCTATTCTTTGGTTAAAATGACTATTTTATTCCATTATTTTGATGATTTTTCCGAATATGTTCTTACTATTTGGGTTGCATATCGATTTTCAAAATCATCAATATTATCAAAATGTTTCAAAAATTTTGAATGTTTCCAAATTCCAAAATCAATCAGAACATCAATCAATCAGATTTCAAGATTTTTTTAATTAGAAAAAGGAAAACAAATTTAATTTTATTTAACAATATTATTGAAAAGATAAGTTTCAGCAATTTGTCTTAAGGCAACCTGACACCTATCAGCTTTTGTTCTTGTAAAGAATATTTTTAAAGTATCTAATATGCAATATAATTGTATCTGTTTCTAATGGTATTCATAGTATAAAATTGAATTACCTGGCACTAGAGCTTTCAATGGTACTTTATAGTCTTTGGTCGGACATCTCAATATTTCCAAATACGGATTCAGAACCTCTAAAAATGAAATTTTCTTGATAATCAAAATATTTTTAGTTTAATACATATTTCTAAAACAGCGTTACAAAAAGTTTTGCATCTTTATCGAATTTAAATAATTCATAGATAATAATAGTAGCAAGTATTATTAGGATATTTAAATTAGTTAGCCGTACGTTATTTCAATAAGATATAAATTTTAATCATTTATTCGTAGCTTTTAAAATTATAAGGAATGCAGCAATAACAAGTATATAAGCAAAAACTTCATTTTCTTATCAAAATTGAATAAATAATAATTAATTAATACAATTAAACAATATTTTGTTAGTTGCAGAAAAGATTGAAATACAATTTTTTGAACTGCAAAACAAACTTCGTTTTTTTTATCTTATTTATAAAATAATAAAAAAGATATATCTATTTTAAATAATTAGGGGAAGTACGGACAAAATGATATGAAACCTATGCAACCTATTACAAAAGGGTAACATAGAAAGTAAGCACATACTGAGATACTAACTTTTTTGAAGTCGTTAGAGTAAAAGTGAAAAGCCAATCACCTTTGACTGGTTCAACTTTCTTTTTTCTTAGCCTTGAATCCACTACCCTATAGTGCTTACGAAATAGTGCTATGCCATTTTTTTCATTGTATAGGTATGTTATTTCGATCGAAAGTGAACAAAAATAAATAGTCAAAATTCTTCAAAACATTTGATTATTGCAATTAAATTGATCGAAATCAGTTGTGCCGGCATAAGCTTTTGATAGAAATGATTACGAATAACAATAAGTAAGTCCAAAAAAAAACATAAAAATTACATGTCGAATTTTATTGTGAGAACGTATTTGTTATTTTCAAGGGCGGCCAAAAAATGCTCGCACGAGGCGGTCACATACCCAGACACGGCCCTGTTCATATATATATATATATATATATATATATATATATATATATATATATATACAATTTTGTCCGTATTTTCCCTTATATTAATGCAGCATTGTTTACATCACTGATTTTTCATATCATTAACTTCTATAAATTAAATATATAATAGTGTCTTGCATAAAAAGACAAGTTTACCATATATTTTGCTTCCAAATTGCACAGATGATACAAGTTGTGTAGCAAAAACAAAGGAAGTCATCAGAACGATATAGAACTCGATTATGAGCAGCAACAAAATCATCTATAGAAAATGAATATATTCAGTAAGTGAAATTAATGTATTGAATGAAACATATTGAATTTAAAAATAGCAGTTAATTATGGTTTAAACATTTATTTTGTTTTATCATTAATTTTACATGCTTTTTAAAGTCGTTTATTTTATTTCGTGTACCAATCGTTTGTAGATTTTTTTAATATCAGTCGAATTAAACTCAATTTGTTATTTATGTATTTTTAGCATTAGACATATTTTAATTGAATACTATAAATATTTAACAAGATAGGAGTTTAAAAGTATCGATTGATGTCTCATAAATATATGCAATATACTACCTAACCTGTGTTACACAGGCTGTGTATCTCGTATGAAAATTCTTTTATATAGCTTTATATAGCTATCTTAATTAAACTATACCATGGTATATATTTAATTAATAATAATAATTAATTACAAAGGTCCAATTTGACATTTAGTATTTATACTACACATTTTTTTATTTCTACTTTAAGATAATATCGTTAAAAAATTATATACTTTACTTATTATTGAGATAATGGTGGTGGTCCATTATACCCTAGAACTTTTGAACCTTGCTCCACCCTATATATTGTTGGGACAACCAATGACACCAAAATATGTAGAGATCCCACTGATGCCAATTACAAAATAAATATAACCATGACTGCCGTCCTTGCTTAAATTTTTGTACTTACCAAAAGCCATGATCCTCTTATGCATTTGTAAATATATGCCGTTCTGTTTGATAAACTGACCCATGCGATTATAAGAAATGTCATTAAAAACGAAAATGGAATAAAGTATCTTGTTTCTTCTTTGCTAAAAGTACAGTTATTAATAAACGACAAACTCTTTGAAAATATATAAACTAATATCAGTTATTTTTTATAAATATTTAATACTGTATCGTTTCAAAATGCAAATTTTATATTTTTCAAATGCTCACCATACGCTTCTTACAGATTTAAAATTTGTAAATATATCATATCCTGCTTTTCGTTTAGAGTCAATTCCGTAAAGGTTTAAAAAACATAAAAATCAAAAAGATTCAACACACTGTTAACAGCTCAAACCCGCCAGGTCCAAGGTGTATCATACATAATAAATTATATATATTAATATACATTTAATTTGGTAAAAAGTTTGCGTTTTTTGCAAAATCAAACTAAAATTAAATTTAATAGCTAAGGGTTATGTCGATTTCTGGCCTCTCTATGGCGGCTTTGGGCCGTTAAGGTTTGATCTATTTCATAGTTACTTGTCTCACAAAATGTTTAGAAACATTCAACTGAAAAAGTTTTCTACATATGATTTTCAATCAATACAACATAAATATTACTTACTCTGTTCTCAGTGGTACTTTTTCATAGCTTTGCCAGATACTAAATAAATGTATCGTTTGTGAACTCAGGACAACTCCCCGGTATAATAGTAGCAATAGTCCAGTCATTATCAAAAAATTAATGAAACGAATTGTGTACACATTTTCACTGAAACCTAAAATATACAAAAAATTGATAAAATGTTAACAATAATATATTTTCTCCAAAATTATAAAATGTTTTAAAGAAAAAAATATCGTTGTTCAAAAAAAAACTGTGTATTAGCAACTTCTTAAAATTTAATGTGAATTATGAATTAATAACAACTTTAGTATTTTATTGTATCAAGAATAACACGTGTTACAGTATACAGGTCCACAAAATAGTGCGGCATATGTTTTACCAATGTAGTTTTTACCACTGAACACGAATCTGGGTCAAAATTGGGGGTCAAATGGCAAAAAATTAAAAAAAACGACAAAATCTTTGATCTAGTAATTCTTCTGCATGATACTTAAAACCATATAATTTTTGTCCTTCCTGGCCCTTTCTACCTTAAATGACTATTGAGTATTCGCTTATGATCTATCAAGTTTTTTTTGTATAGAAATTCAGCCAACACATTTTTAGGTATTCAGATCGCAAACATGGTTGCAAATTACTCAGTGGCATTGCGGAGAAATATGCTGACAAATTACTGCTGAATTACACAAAAAAACTCTATAGTCATTTAAGTTAAAAAGAGCCAGGAAACGACAGAAATTATGAGATTTTGATTATTATGCAAAAGAATGCCTAGATCGGAAATTTTGTCGTTTCTTTAAAAAAAATCAATTTTTTGCCATTTGACTCCTAATTTTGACTTTAGATTCGTGTTCAACATTGAAAACATATGACACACCCAATACAAAAACTTTTTTTTATTTTGTGGACTTGTGTAATTGTTGTAAACATGAACATATTTCAAGTTATGTTAATAGCTCTTGTTCTATTTCTTCGGAATCTAATTAATCGCTTTAAAGAAACTCTAATATATTTTATTCATAAAACTAATGTCAATGTTGTGTCAGCTGTAGCAGTTAAATTTCAGTTTTCACAAAACTAGTTTCAAACAGCGTAACGCGCAATGTGAGGGCTTCTTGGTGGAATATAATTATATTATATTTGTTATTATATATTTTTATTTTATTTAGTTATTAGTTGAAAATATGTTGATTTTATGAAACAAAATATTAAACTATAATTGCTAGATTAATAACATTTCTAAACGTCAAATCGTTTCCAAATTCATATTTTAAAGGAATACTTTTATTTAAATTGAAAGTAATGAATAATCTTACACATTTTTGTCCTTTTATAATTTTCGCTTCATTAGCTTGCGAGTTATATGCGTTATATTTATATCATAAGAAATAAAAAAATCTTGAAACTGATTAGAAACTACATTCATTTATTATAAGTATTGTACGATTCGCATATGAATGGATGGACTTATAATACGAATAAAATTATGCATGTACAACCGAGATCAATAAAAATGCAGAATTTTTTAAATATATTTATACTATCTAATTATTTACAAATTATATTTATAACTATCACTAATTTATTTTAATATATATAATTTTACTAATATTGATTTTTCTTGAAATTTTAGATTTTAGTGATAAAATTATAATTAATAATTTATCATAATTTTTTTTAGGCATAATTAATAAAATAGGCGCTAATAATATTGTAGTATTTACAAAATACTTTTTTATATTTATTTTAGGAACAGTTCCATTTTATAATACAATTTTAATTAGATTTTTTAATCACTTAAAAAATAGTATCGCAATAGTGTTGAAACAAAGTTATAAAATTAGAATATTTTTAAAATCAGCATAACTATTAATTAAAAAAATTGTAATACCTATACTTCTACTTTTTCATATCTAAAATTATTATTATAATATTAAAGCTGATTACTAAAGGCAACATCTTTCCTGCAGACATTGATTTATCCAATCCGGTGTTACAACTTTCAAGTCAGGCATTTGGCTCACCATCATATTAGTTTTTTCTTGCATAAATTTCTCCTCATTTTCTTTATTATGGGAATCCATTGATATTTTGATCAAATGCGTGACTGACCCGTCAGGTTCTTCGACGACACGCGCTCCCAAAATCGTCAGATCCATTTTTACAATTTCCTCCCGGACTGACCGTAAATAATATGCGCTGGTGTCAACGAAATCAATCTCAGAAATCGGCGGAATCAGAAGATAAGCGACAACGTGCCGTAGGGGCGAGTAGGAATTGATTCCATTTTCAAATAGTTCTTGGTCCATCATTAGAATTTCCTGTTTTGTAGGCGATATATTGTGTTTCTGTTGAAATTTTACATTAAATTGAAATAAATGAAGAATGTCATCTTTAATCTTTTTTAATTTTTCTGTGCAATATTTTAATAAGCAATCGACCTATCACGATTATCCGCAAAGTTTCCATACAATTCTACGTTTAATTATATTAAATATGCGATTTGTTTCATTAAAATATTAATGTTTGAAATTATGTTAATGAGTAAGAGGTTCAGTATTAGATATGTAAATAAACTATTTTGCCTTGAGGCATGTTACACGAACTTCCCGATATGTTTAAATAATCGACTTAATCAATAAACAATAAATCAATTTATGAGTGATTAAAAGTATTCCGAGTGGATTTATTACACATCTTTGAAAACGAACGAACACGTTAACTCGGAGTATTTTCTAAAAGCAAATTTTCAAAAATCAACCATTTTTATAATTGAACCGTAGGACTTTAATGGTTTAGTATGTTCATTAAGACCAAGTACTCTATCGTTATACCAAGTAAATCGTCTAATTTTAATTTTAACAAACGTCAAAAAATACTCATTTTCTCGAACTTTGATGAATTTTTAAAATTAAACTACTTGTCGTAAGGCCGTAATATTTCAGTAAGATCTATAAGACCATGATATATATCGCCAAAAAAAAGCACACACACACATACTTTTTCCAAATTTCGTCTCATTCGATTCAGAATGGCTTGAAACGTCGAAAAAAACATAAAATTAGCGAATCGGATTTTTTATGAAAACAAACTAATCCTTCGGGAAGTTAATAATTTCAGTATATAATCGTTTATTACCCATTGAAGTTAAGTAATCTTACCTTTACGTGCTAAGAAAATAATGAAGCGCAAAGTTTATTAAAGCCAAACAGTTCATGCATATTTAATTATAAGAATATTTTAGATTCAATGTGAGCAAAAAAAGACAACGTGCAACTTCTTTCATTTCGTTCACGGTTATCCTCACCATCTCATCAATTTTATCCATCGCCTTTTTTAATTCTTCAAGATCAGCGTCTTCCGTAAAACTATCACCATAATTATCATACAAAAGTAGTAACTCGTCTTGGGTTGCTTCGGTAGCCCCTAATACTTCGGATGGTCTATAAGGCAAAAGGACACATTTTTGAAAACATCTCAATAACCAAGACACATGTACTACATCAGTCGCATCTTCAGTTTCATTAACTTTAAGTAAATTTATGTGGCTAGTGACACGCATTGAAATTTTTCCCACTAATACACAATTAGTTTTTGGACCTAAAATTTAGATATAGGATTAGAATGTCTTTTTAATTATATGTATTGATTATATATGCTTAATTGAATATTTATTCAATTTATTGAACAATTGCCCTATACCTGCATTTTGTACAACTGCACCACCATTCTCAATAATTTTCTTCTCTATCTCAGGCTTCGTTAATTCTGGCGTTCCTGTTAGTACACAGAATTCTTTTCCCTCTAGCAAATTAGAAATAATTTTTATCTGAAACAAATGTGCTACAAATATCTTTTGAAAAATACATGAAATCATTATTGTTTGAAATGATCAATACCTTTTTAGAATCTAATTGTAGTGAAATTGGTGCCGGTTCTATTCTGGTTTGTTTTCTAGGACTCTTTGAACTGGTATTAACATCTTGTTCGATATCATTTATATTTATGTGTCTTGTTGTTAATTTCTCAACGTTGCTGTAATTCTAACAAAAATATTTTTATTGAAAATTCTATTTCAATATACATACTTAGACTATAACTGTGATAATATTGATAATATTGTTTCATAAAAAACGTTTATTCTATACTAAATAATCCACCGAACATATATAATATTCCATATATAATATATGAAATATATAATATCGTTATTTAAGTATTTTTAAAAAAAAGTACATTAAAATACCTTTATCAAGTTGTTAAATTCGTTAAGAGTCATGCAACTATGCCAGGGTTTATCATAACGAATTTTCTCAACTCTAGGGAATCTAAGAGTATAATTGGTTTTGAATGCAGTAGTACGAATCAACTCGGTTGCTTTTACCTTTGAAAATAAAAAAATGAATATTAGATTGATATTAATAATAGAACAAAAAATAACTACAGCTACATTTAAACAACATTAAATATTCTTCATATTTATACAAATTATACCTATAATAGAATTTATGTTTTAATATTGTCATAGTAGAATCGTTCTTATATAACAAAAAATAAAAAAAAATTGAATGAGAACAGAACTTTTCATAGCTAAATTTTGAACTGCATATTACGGCTAACATAAGAAAGGTATTAAGATCTATCTTTTTAGTATTAAAATACCGGTATACCTGCAAAATGCGCGAATTTTTAGGTTCAATCCATACATCGGGTGCCTCTTTAGTCCAAGCTAAGTTTGGTGGACATTCGCGTATTCGACGATTTGGTCTATTACCGGTTGGAGGCGTCGTCTTCCAATAGGGACGTAAAGATCGAGTTAATTCATTTAATTCATCTGCTGTAAATCCTATGCCAACACGGCCGACTGAGTAAAACATGCATGGTGTAGACTCTTCTTTGCCAACAGAAAAATCGAAAAATAAAAACATCAGATTTTTTTTCCTATGTACTTAGTTTAATTGAAGCAAAGCATTTGTAGCTGAAGAGCAAACAAACAATATGTCTGACTCGTGTCCTATACGTTTACTTTATGTACGTTATTCCTCAAGTTTTAAAATGTATTTTGTTCATTCTATAAGTATTGACATACTTATAGAATGAACTTTATGTCCATAGCAAACACTTCAGCAAAAGCATTGGTAAGCCATAATTCGTGCATTATTCAATCCACAACAAATGAGAACAAGCAGCTCTTAGATAGGTGATAATAATCTTCAGTTAGTCTACAGATTGCACATCATAATCTTTTGTATTACTAAATGTTATATTTTTAGATAGTCTTAATTACTAAATGCAATAAAAAAAATCTTTTTTAAACATTTGTCTGTTAGTTAAATTTTAAAAATTATAAAAATAAAATATGCGGTATATATACAATGGATTGTTCTTTTTTTCTATTTTTAATATTCGGGTATGCAAATTTTAAATATGTTTAATAACATAATAATGATATTATATTAATAATCCAGGATTACTTATTGATAATAATATGTAATGAAGATAGTGTTAAAAATTATCGAAATTATATGAAATATTTTACCAGGTTCATCCACTACAGCAACTCCAAGCAAAAAACTGCTTATTCTACCCTTCGTTTTTCCTTCACCATAATATCCTCCAATAATTAATAAATCTAGTTCTGATAGAATGCCGGCTGTATACTGAAACATTATTATAATATAAATTACATTTTTGGAACGAAGCAAGATTTTTGAATACCCTTTTACCTCTGGTTTTATTTTAAACCAGCCAGCATTTCTACTATTAGGTTTGTAGATCGAATTTGAAATTTTCATAACTATACCCTCTTCGTTTTTGTCAATCGCGGTATTGAGAGCTTCGATTACCTGTTCTCTGCGAATTGATAAAAAATAAGTTCATAAAACTTTATATATTTGCATTCAGATGCCAAATGCAATTTAAAATACATCAATAACAACTCTTGAAATTAAGGATAAATGCCATGTATTGAAGAAATTGATAAAATTACATCCAAATTAAATTCAATATTAACATGAGAAATCAGAAAAGAATAGAACTAATAGTTTCAAAAACTTACGCAAATGTTGCTTCCGTTTTCTTGCTCTGTATTAAAACCCCTTCCGATTCTTCAAATATTTCGTCCAGAATTTTTAATCTGTCCGATAGTGGTTTATCCGTTAATACTTCATTATTGAAATATGTGATGTCGAACACGCAAAAACACGGCTGATGAACAGAATCACTCACTAGCTTCTTAACGTCGAAATTCATACCTAATCAAATTCAAATTTGGTTCATGGATTTGTGTCATCACAATTTACTGCATAATGATACAATAATGTCATGGGTCAATTGGAACAATTAAGCATATCATGATTAATGATCTGCTAACGATGGCATATCATGACTTTGTCACTTTATTTTATATATTTAACTTGCATCTAGAATACTCATAGTTGAAGTTCCAAGATTCCAAAATAATACTGTAAGTTATGCTTTACTCTAGATCAGGCTAGAATATAAAATATTATATATGTTCTCCAATTACCTTTAGATCCAAAGCATTTTTTGTGTTTATTCCAGCCCATCATTTCTCCATCCAATATAAAACTTTTAACATTAGGTTTTAAAAGAGAATCTATTTTAGGGGTTAGCATGCCTTCCTTAGCTGAAGCACCATACTCTTGCGTAAAACAAAAACTATATTAAAATAATGTATTATTATTATGTGATTATTTTTCCGATGCTGTAAAGTCGCGGAACTTTAAAGTACCGCTACTAGATTACTAAATTTCAATTGAAATTTATCTTACCCATTTCTAGAAAAATATTTATATCGGCCATTCAACATATGAATTTGAAATCTCTCTCCGTCGAATTTAGTTTCCAAATAGTATTTTACGCCTGATTTAATATGTTTTTGTATTTCAGCTATGTCCAATCTTTTTGATAGCATTGGCCGAAACGGGCAAAACAATTCTATTTCCAATTTATGCAGGCGATCAGCGGGATTGTTAAGCGTTGTACAAACCTAAAATATGTTTCAAACTTCAATTAGATATAAGAAACAGTATGTATTATGTACTATATAGCGTATTTAAGAACCTTGAGTAAGCTATTACTAACGTCGAATAACTCAGGGGCATCTATATGGTACAATTTTAGGATCGAATTCTGTGCTATGTTAAATTTCATATCCTTCAATATGATTCGGATAAGCCATTTTACTTCTAAAGCAGTCATTGATCGCATCATTGAAATTAATTCATCATCTACTTCCCCTAAAAAAAATTAAAAGATATGAAAGTAAGTTAATATTATATTAATAATCCATAATTTTTTTACTTAAGTATATTCTTCAACGTGTGCGTTCTTCAGAGAAAATGTAAAATTCGACCGAATTTCATTGATAATTTCAAAATTCTGAATCTTAATTCAAATTCGCAAATTTAATTGAAATATATTCTTAGAATTTGAATTCAACATACATATGTTTGTAAAAAAAAGCTCAAAAATTCAATCAAATTTTTTACAGTCATTCAAGTGTTTGTACAAATATACATATGTACAGTACTGGTCAAAAGTTTGGGTCCACTTCACAATATTGATGAAATGTACAATACCAATATTTATGAAAATGTAATCACTGTTTATACAAAATATTTCAACTCATAAAAAACCCGCAAATATTTATCTATATTTTTGATTTTTCGAAATATCTGCCTTTTGCTCGTATAACAGCAAGGCATATTCTGGACATCCTTTCAATCAATTTATGCAATGATTCCGTCGTTATTTCATTCCAACGATTCTGTAGGAACGTCCAAAGCTGTTTTGTATTAGTTGGTTGCAATTTTGAAACTTGTCTGTCCAACTTCTCCCACAGCAATTCGTCGGGCGATGCTCAGTCACCCCCAGTCTGGGGATGCTGCTTTGCTGGGGGGGCATTAGTGACGTTGTGAAAATTCGGGGTATCATGGACAAAAAAGTCTACTACAACATTCTTTAACGGCGCGCTTTTGCGTGTGGGATTACATTTTCATAAAGATTGATAATAAAAACCAATGAACGAAGAAAACCATGGTTTCTTGAACATTTGATCAATATTGTGAAGTGGACCCAAACTTTTGACCGGTACTGTATATGTATTGAATTTATTCTATTTAATTTATTATTATTCCAAGATGATTAATATACAAATTAACTTTCAAATATCAAAATATTCTGCTGCTGCGTATTTTTTTTAAACAAGACATTTTAAGTATATAGTGAGATGACTATATTTCAAGTATAATTTTGCATACGTTGTACATGCTCAGCATATTTCATGGCAATATTGTCCAAATGTTTGTTGACATCTTCCACAGTTAGAGTTCCCTTTTGAGCACACCGTAATTTCAACACAATGTGGGCGACTTCGGCAAAATCCCCATATGACGACGCACTTTTATAATTGAGCAATTTTTTGGCATCCGCAGCTTCATAAAAAATTATAATTAATTTCAAGTTGATATATATATATATATATATACATATATATAATAAAAATATTATTGATAATTGATAATGTTAATATTAATAAAATATTTATATAAACTTAATCGAGAATAACGCACATACGAAATTTAACTTTGATGTACCTTCTTTGGATATTGATAAAACCCTAATTAAAATCTTCGCTAAAGTAGATTCTTTTAGCCCATAGGCACCTCTTTCTCTTTCTGCTTGAGGAACTAATAATCGTAATACAGGATAAAAACTTACGTCCTAAAACAAGGGGAATACTTTTTATTGTACCTGAAGCTATTGTACACAAAGTATAATTTTATTACATGAAAACCAAAATTTCGTAAAAAAAATTCTGCTTAACAAGGTTTTGTTTTAGATTTAGCACTTACCGCGTTTGCATGTTCTGACTTGAACTCTTCCGCAAAATTTCTAAAATAATTTATGTAATTTCGCATAAAATCGAACTTTTTAGTCTTGGGTGCATTTTGAAATAATTCACAACGATTACAGAAGTCACTGAATGGTATTTTAGATGCAACACTAAGGCCAATTTCTTGAGTACCCATTTTTATTGCTATATTAGACTATACAGGCACTGCAACAAATAGTAAAAGATATAAATTATTATATAAACGATGATTTATTTTACAAAATAATATTATAATACAATATATTTTTGTAAATACATTCTAGCTAAATCATGCGAACCGCTTTTTGCATATATTAAATGTATGTTATAAGCTGTTTCTTTACGTAAGTCTAGTATTTCAGGACGAGATTCAATTAAAGAGTTTGTTATTTCTAAAACCTTCAAGTAGTGATGGATTGCCACGTGTGAAAAGCCCAGTTGGTGAAAGGCACGTCCTGTGTTATAATGAATTTCATGTTGGGCTTCTTTACCGCGTCCCGCCGCGTATTTAGTAAAAAACGCTATTCCTTGAGTTATAAGACTAGATCTCTTTGCTGAAAATTTTTGACAAGCCATTTGGAACATGGTAACTCCGACCATAAATGCATGTAAAGCTGAACCATCATGCTTATACCGAGATACATATTCACTTAGAGCATATTTATAAGTACCTGCAACCAAACAATTGTTTCCAGTAAGAATATTTACAGCAGGATTTAGATTATGACCATTGCGACATAAAAAGCGCATCAAGAATTTACTATGTCTTACGTCATCTGCTCTTTGAATAATTTGATTGTATAAATTCCATACTCGGTGTTTTTCATAATTTTTCTGTACTAGTTCGCGAATTATGTTGAAGCCTAAATAACCATCTTGATTTGCAAGGCAAATAATAAGGCATGTAAACTCTAATTCGCGTATATATTCCTTAAAACGCTTAGATCCCAATGCAGAAAAAGATATACGTTGACATAATCCAAATTGTTTTTTCTTGAAGGCGATTTGAAGAAGTTCTTTCAATAAAAGCCATTCATCTTGAATACTTGGTTCATTTGCATTAAGAAATATTGGAGCATCAACATCTTCATATAATTCACCTCTAGCCATTCTTACTTCTTTAATAGCAATTTTTTTACGTACAACTTCCTGCAATCTAGTTAAAGCTTCCGCCTCTTCAGCATTTCTTATTCGAACGCAATGTCTTGATAATAAAAGTTGCCCAACTTGTAATAATTGAAGTTCATCTCCCATTATCCTCAGTAATTTACAGCGTTCAAAAAGCAATCCGGGATCTAACATGTCCAAATCTTCATCTTGCTCTAGAGCTTTCAATGCTTCTTCAAACTTATTCTGTTCCCTAAGAAGAATGGAAACGGTCATCCTAGGCTCTAAGTGTTTAGGGGCTAAATGGATAACAGTTTGGTATGAAGTAATTGCTTCGTTTATCCTCCCACAAGCCTGCAGGCATTCTGCATATCTTAACCAAACTGCAGCTAAACTAAAATTATTGCTTTCTATTAATGGGCATAACAATTTTAATGCAGCCTCAAAATAGCTTTCTTTCATAAGAGCTTCAGCAAGTTCTAAATATAAGTCACCATACTCTTCTTTATCATCTTTAATTAATAAATGGTGTAGTAAATCATTGAACAAATGGTCAGCTCGCAAATGTACCAAACATATTATTAACTTGACACGTAAATCTAAAATTAAATCATCGGGTATTGTGCAATTAACCACAAAGAACTTTTGATCAACACCCTCTTTACTTTCATATAACTCAGTCATTCCTTCAATTACAACATTTGCATGTTGAGCTAGAACTTGTAAGCCGCTTTGATATTTTCCTACTCCTATCATTAATTCTAAAAGCAAATTTATATCAGGATCTTTGAAATGTTGTGGTACTCGAGAATAAGCAATTTCTAAAGCTTTTAATGCTTTTGAAATATTATTATCATGATGGTAATTAGTTGCTATCATTTTTGCTACTTGAACTATTTCTTCTGCTTCATCTAAAGGTATATATTCCAAATATCGTAAATAACATCGCAATGTCATTTTTGTATCATTAGTTGTTTCGACAAGTTTTATTAGCTTTCTGTGCAAACTAACATCTTTAGGATCCACCTTTAAAGATTTATCATAACAAATGATCGCTTGCTTTATATTTCCTAAGTCTTCAGATTGAATTGCCAATCTCACCCATTGTTCAGCATTGTGAGGGCACACATGGGCTGCGATTAATGAATATTGAAGTGATTTTTCTGGGTTGCTTATTTCATATATTTGTGCTAATGTTATGAAAGGTTCTTGAGCAGTAGGTACCTGTCTTATTAGCTCAAAGCAAATGTTTTCAGCTATTTCCATTTCACCTCTGGCGCACCGAAGATTAGCTTCACCCATGAGTCCAAGAAGCGCAGGAGGTAGTTGTGTTCTTTGGTTTCGCCTCACTTTAGATTTGTGTGGCTTATGTACACGTTCCGAAATTTCAGATTTCTGCTTTGTTATATCAGTTTCATCTTCTTCCTCAGACGAGCTAGTGCCCTCCATCTGCGCCGAAAACTGATCGAAAGTTAATTCTCCATTTAAGAACTTATTTGTTAGCTCATGGTCTCGCTCTGCATCATATTCTACATAATTTACATCTGATTCAACATTTTTTTCTTGTTCTTGTTCTTCTTCATTCTGTATAGTTACAGTTTGTGCTTCACGAAATTCTGCCAAGTCGTACTTGTCTAAAGAATTGCTATCCAATTCTTCAACAATAATTGGAACTATTAATCCACTTGAACAAGGATCTTGTGCATCGGAATTCATTGTTATATTGTAGTACAATCTCAATTTTCTTCCTGGTCTTTTCTCTATTTAAATTGTATTTATTATTTAATTTAATACCAATAGTTTATATTATTATGTAATATTCGCCAACTACCACATTTATATATATATATAACTTTATGAGAAGGTATAATATTTAGCGAATAAAAAGAAAATCATCCGTCACCAATCTAAATATTTTGAATTGAAACTGTCACCATAGACACATCCCTAGGTGGGATAACTCAAAATATCATATTCAATATGCGTAAACGGAAAGATTATTGCCAACATAATCGATCCACTGTGTTTATCTTCAACTGCATTTGTATTGACATTGACACTTCTAGATTCCAATTACTGTTTTTTGACTTTATTAGTTATAGTACATGAGCTTTGAAAATGATATGATTTAACTTTAATTGCAATGTATTTTTACCTTCTTAATATTATGAGTCCATTTTTCTTTTAGTTATACGAAAATTTTATACTTAGTTATGGATAAAAAGCACATAGTAAATTTGACTCAATTTGACTGCTGCGTGATAATACGACTGCCCAATACACCACTTTTATCTTTTACAAGTGTCAACAAATCACAAATGAAGTTAGATTCATATTCCTAACTTAGTTACGAATTTTTTCGGTAGCCACATATATCTCATGTCGTCATGTCTTTCATCTCTCTTTTCTCAACCTCTCAACGATATGTCATTAAACTGACAGCACGTAGCTAAAATTCCGAAGCACGTGTAGTTCTTCATACACATCGTTCATCCAGTTATATTTATTTTTATATTTTATATGTTTGTAAATTTGTAATTGTTAAATCGGTTTTACGACATGGAAAATGTTAATTTTGTACCTTGTGTTTGCTTTGTTAAACGAGGCGTTGCTAAATCAAACCCCGACAAAGTAAGGTTATCTCTTGTACAAAGTTTATATTAGCAGAAGAATACAGTATTATGATCTCTAAAACATTGATTACTGAATTTTAGGTGCAGCTTTCTAAAGAAGAATTGGCAGAAATAATTAATAAAGCAAAACAGGAAATAAAGTTAGTGTTAAATGTCATAGATATAATTTTTTTTTCAATTATTTATTTAAAACAGACATATACGTATAGTTTTTATGTTCTTTCAAGAATAAAATATTTATTAATAAATATTTATATAAAATGAAGTTTATTAAAATAATTAGTAAATGTTGTTCATTTTTAGCGACCATGAAAGCGATAGTGAACATTCTGGTGATGAGATGGTAACAGATGATAATAAAGTAGCAAATGATGACGATACTGCGATGCTAGATGATGAATATAAATTAAATGAATATGATAAAGATGAAGGTTTTTTATTATTAATAATAATTTTTGTTTTTAAATTTAATTATCTATTTTAATATATTTTTAGAATTGCCAAGTTCAGTTTTGGGAATCGGTAGCATTGCTCTTATAGGAGATGAGGAAACAGAATCATATTTTAGCAGAAGAGATCGTGATGGGGATCATGAGATTCTGGTAGTTTTATTATAGTCTATTCTATATGACATTAATTTCTTTTTGATAGTAATTTAGTGGAATATTTTATATTGTATTTTTTATAAAGATT